CTATTGAGGTGGAGTTGTCGATGATTTATGCATCGAGTTGGCATCCTAGTCAGTGTACTGTCAACCTAATTGACGGAATCTCTAACACCGTTAAAATTTTATAACATAAATGACTAAATTTGTCAAACAACAATCCATAATACTGTGTACTTTGTGAATTCTCAAAAAATGATTATTTTTGTCACAAACATAAAGTTTCGGTTATGCGAGTGTATTTTACCTACTTTTCAAATGGGTTAATACCCTAGTTTTTTTTAAAATGATGAGAATAACATTAAAAAGATGAAATAAAATCAGAGTACAAGGAAAGCACAAGACTTGCTCCCAGAAGAGGAAACCAAACAACCAAAACGGACAAAGAAAAGAGACTGAGCTAAGCCAACCAGGAAGCTCTTGCTCAGGAAATGAATAACATGAAGAAACAAATGCAAAGGGCCCAAAGAATTACAATAGGCCAGGCCAATACTAAGTGAACAAACAAAACAAAACACACAGCAACTCTCCGGGACATGACAAACTTAAACGTTGGGTTAATTACATGGTTGGTCATTGAGATTACAAAAAAACGTTTAAGTTTGGTCACTCGAAATATTTAAATTCATTGGTGGGTACTTCAGTTTAGTGAAACCGTTCACGTTTGGTCACTCTCCGTCCAACTCCGTTAACTTTTACTTACGTGGCGTCAACTCTAAAAGTTAACCGTTAAATATGCGACCTCGCAATTTAAAAAAATAAAATAATTTTTTTTTAAATTTCCATCTCATTTCTGACTATTTAAAATAAAATTATAACTATTAAAATTAACAAGAAAGGGGGAATCCTCTTGAATCGGCGGAGAGGCGGGGATTGGAGAGGGAGAGGTCGAAGGAGGAGGAGGTGGGGTTTCTGGCGTCGAGGCCTCGCTTCCACAACCCACCCAAATCGGCGGCGGCAGCGGCGTCCTCAGGCCATGTGACGTATCGACGCTCAGTCAAAATCCGCTTCGTTCCGTCTCTCTGCCCGCCGCCAGTTCCACCATTTCATAATCGAAAGAAACCCAAGCATGTTGATCGATACTCAATCAAAACCCCTTGCTTTCCGACTCTCTCTCCGGTTGATCTATCCCTAAGAAAAGTCATATCCCTTAAGCTATTCACTTTGTCTCCCAAGCCAAAACTTTTCGTCTCATCTTTTCATCTTCATCACCCAGCCTATTAGAGTTCCCTCCGATGGAGGTGACCGACACCAAGTAGGGCCCTTTCACTCTTGTTCATGCGGCCAGGCGGAGAAGCTCGACGGTGTTGGTGGACTTTGATGAAGATGACAGTGACTTCGACGGAGGAATCGATGTCCCCGTGAAGAATCGATGTCCCCGTGAAGGACGTGGATTGGGTGGATTAAGGAGGCCCAGATGCCATGGGAGACGAGGGTCTGAGATTGGTGACGATGTATCACTTGTCGACGGCGGAGAAGAAGATGGGTCGAATAGTGTTTCTCGTGGGGAAGAGGACTAAATCCACTTCTACGCCACCTGGCCTGAGGACGACGCCGCCACCGAATTGGGTGGGTTGTGGAAGCGAGGCCTCGACGCTAGAAACCTCACCTCCTCCTCCTTCGACCTCTCCCTCTCCAATCCCCGCCTCTCCGCCGATTCAAGAGGATTCCCCTTTCTTCTTAACTAGTGTTTTTACCCGTCCGTTGGGCGGTGCATTACATTTGATTATTTTAAAATTCGTTATAGTATTCTAATTATTATTATCATTTATGTTTGTTGATTTTTTATACATGAAATTGTAAATCTCACTTACCTTATTTAGTTAATGTTTCATACTTTTATACCTTTTTTTATTTATGAAAAATTTAATTGTATTAACGGAGCTCTTTGTAGACCGTTCTTTATTGATTTAAAATATTGTATCGAACTCAAAAAAGTGATAAAGAAGTTAAAAATTTTAAGATAAAAAACGAAGAAGTTAGGATAAGAAAATACGATTCAATTAATAAAAAAATAAGTGAAGAGCTTTTCATTTTCTTTCCCTTCTCCTATGTTGTATATGATAATAGAGAATATTCCGATCTAGATCTCACGAATATCGTGTATTATCAGTTACACCTGCAATTCTATAATAATGATGAAATACATTAGCATCCACATCCATCAGTCTTCTGGATACTCAATTAATTTATCTTGTCAATGTTCTAGCAAAACCAACCACAAACAGAACTATCAGTTGTCACTAATTTATTAAAACAATATTTTCAACAAACTAAACTTCATATAAACACAATTTATAATTTATAGAGAGCTGCATATCTCCTAAAAGAAAAAATAGTGTTTTTGTACCTAATAACAACATAGGCAAATAATGAAAGGAGCATACTTCAATACAACTCAACTCATTCTATCTTGCAAATTCCTAATTTGTGAACTGAATCTATGCACCAATCAAAATAGTAGCTGATAAGAAAATAATCATGTCAAAATCAAGCTTTAGTTAAGGATTTAATGAGGAGAAATTCACCCTAATGAAACAAACAAATGTCATTGCAAACGTGTAGAAATTGAAAACATCAAAATACACAACCGAGGAACCGCCACAATCATTTTCTTTCTTCTTCACGACCTTTATAAAACCCCAATTATGTTCCATTCTACTTATAATCTCATTGCTACCTACTAATTATTAACCAGATCATCATCTTATAGCTAGCTAGTAGCATGTCAATCATGAACATAAGGAATATAATGAAAAACCCTCACAACTCCACTTTCCATTTCAACATCTAAAGAATCGGGTTGCGATAGGCATTTAAGTAAAAATCAATTATTCAATCAAATGACATATTCTCTAAGTCCAACCAATTATCCTTTCTAATCATATATTACCTATTTACATAAAAGTATATGACGTAATAGAGAACATAAAATAACTCCGTGAAAACGAAGAATAAATACATTCGCTCATCAAATAGGGAAATTTACCATCCAACAGTTTTAATTTGGAAGAAATTAAGAAAATAATGGAAAAGAGAGTGAGCAGTTGCGAGCTTCAGATCAAGGAGGAAGAGGGAGCAGTCGACAATCCTCGGTTTGGTTCACCTCAGTGGCGGAGGGAGAGCATAACAGGGTGGGTCCCGGGACCCACCCTGACTCGGAAGGAAAATTGTTCAATTAGGTACAATAGTTAATTTATATAGAAAATTAGGGGTATTTAATTGAGAATAGCTGATCGAAAGATTTTTTGTTCAAAATTTTGGCGACCTCATTTGTTAAGTACACGATATACAGATTTGTGCAAACTTCATTTTTCTATAAGTTGACTTTCTTATATGAGGGAGCGTGCTAGTAAGTAGTATAAGATATATTATTGAACCTCTTTTAACAACTCAATTTATTGATTCAAAAAAATTCTTGACAAATAACATCATTTGTAAGCGAATGACTAACCAAATCATGAATTATTGTTTGGTGTAAGATTATTATTAAATATCTCTTGACAACTCGAGTTATAGATACTAATAGTTTTTTATAAAGAACATCATACGAAACAGAACGACTAACTAAATCATTAGCAATTGTTTGGTATTTAATATTCTTGATACTTTTGATTGCTAATCTATTTTACTTAACCAAAATTTTCCAATATAAGATTATGTCATGAATGATTCGCAAAGTTAACAAAAATTATTTTACTCAGGTGTATTTTTCTTCTAAGTGGACCTACCTTAGATGAAATCTTAACTACGCCACTCGTTCACCTCGTCTTCGTAATGATAGGATGAACTGCTTTTATCAACAGGCAAAAATATGTTACAACTGCTCAAAAAATTTCCATATAATCGTTTCCTCGTGTACCTCCCTCCTCCTATTCTCCTACAAAGAATAAAAAAAACTTCATATGCATTACCATTTCCTTTTTTATCTAATTTCTTATTTTCAATGTTGGATTTTATTTCTAGAGAGGCAATCAAAATGTGAAAATGGTAGAGATATATTAAAAGGTTGTATTCATAATTAATATGTTTTTTTATTTAAACGGAATGAATAAGAAGTGTTTTAAAAAAATAAAAATTTTTGCTATGTCAAATTTATCTTCAGACTTTTTTCTATATAAATTATACTTGTTTTATTTTATAAGTATATTCATTAGGAAGAAGTGAGTGTTTGATAACAAAAAATATATAGTCATGTAGTTCATTTTTCAAAAACGATTGATTGTCAAACGCTCATTTTCTCCTAGGCCATCGTTTAAATTTTGTTTAATTGAAAAATTATTATTATTCATATGTGTGCTTGTTTTTTCCCATCAAAATGTAACTTATTATAAATTTTTAGTGAAAATGATAGAAAATTTACTTAATGAGATTTAATAAGATATTTGGGTTAAACTGTCACTCTCTCTTTTCTTTTTATACTTTGTTTAATTGAAGAAAAGATTATTACTTATGTGTGTTTGTTTGTTTAAATGTGTCACAAAAAATGTACCTTATTTTAAGTTTTAGTAAAAATTAGTAGAAGTATTAAAAGAAGAGAGAGATAGCTCCATAAATAGATCAATAAATAAATTTTTGTTTGTTAAAAAATTGTCCACATTGGCATCTTGTGAATTCACCAAGTGCTTATGTGGCAAGAAGTTACTTTTGAATAGTCATAATATTAAGTATAGATAGATAGATAGATAGATTTTAATAGTTATAGTTTCATTTTCAATAGTTAGAAATGAGATGGAAATTTTTAAAAAATTAATTTTATTATTTTTAAATTGCCACGTGACATATTTAACGGTCAACTTTTAGAGTTGACCGCCACGTAAGTAATAATTAACGGAGTTAGACGGAGAGTGACCAAACGTAAACGGTTTTAGTAAACTGAAGTACCACCAATGGATTTAAATATTTCGAGTGACCAAACTTGAACGTTTTTTGTAATCTCAGTGACCAACCATATAATTAACCCCTTAAACGTTGGTAAAAAACAAAACCTAGTCAACCCAGATAGATCTAACCCGACCTGACTCTGACTGGACACTGGTTTCAGGAGGCAGGTTCGAGGCCCGCATTGCTGTGTTGAGTTGAGTCTCTCGGCAATTCCAAGCCTGTTAGCATTGAATTCCCAACTAATACACAACAAATCACAGCCCACCCAACTTCGTTTTCACCGAAACCACCCTCCTCTTAGTACAACACAAGACCATCATCGTCGCTTTCCTTCCCTTCCCCATATACTCTTCCTCTGATTCCTCGCCCCAGCATCCTCCTCAAGCCACCCTGCTCTTCTGCCTTCCTCGCAACCATTCTCGTCCACAGCCGGAGGTAAAACAGCTCCGCCTATTGACTACATTTTTGCAATGTGATCTATTATATTGCTGCTGTTGTTTCCTGCTGCAGCAGGTCAACCAGTTCTGCATTTTAAAATGTATCCCGTTCGAATCCATTTCTTTGATAGTGTAGATGTGAAAAGCTGCAGTCTTTTTGCTGCGAGGAATCTCGGGTTGCTTTTACCTTTTCCTGTGTTGCTTTCCTTCTTACACTCTTTGGTTGAAGAAATGATGCTGATGTTGACATATAGTGCAATCTGCTGCTGCGTCCTTTTCTATGTTTAACTAGTTACCCGGGCTTGAAGTATTCAAATGTCTGTTAGATTTTAAGACTTGCTGATGTTGGCTGCAAGGATCTTCCTCTTGGTTCAAAAAATGTCTCACTGGAACACTTTCTTCTGGGTAGCAACTATTTTTTAATACTGTTTGCTTTTCATGTCGTTTCGTGTTTCAGCTCAATGATTGAGAATGTTCATTAGATTGCCAATGTTGTTCTTGCACTAGTTATTTTCATTTATTGCTTGTTGTAATTTTGAGTATCTAAAACAATTCCGGTATGACAATCTTTTAATACACTGTAGTCTTTTTTAACATTTCCCAACTGGTTGCTACTTCAATTGCCCTTGTTTCTTCTTATATAGGCTCCATTCAGATCCTCCTTTCTGGTTTCTATTGGTTGGCAGCATAGCATGTTCATGTGTGTGTCAATGGTGCAACCTAATTTCTCTAATGTGATCATATGCTTTGTCTTTGCGGCCTGGCAGAATTGTGAATATAAGGATAGGAAGAATGGCTGCAGCTGCAACTCCTACTGTAGGCCTGACAACAGCCAGGACTTTCATCTCACCCCCCCATAAAACGTTGATGTCGAGGGCAGCAATTCTGAGTACAGAGTCCAAAGATGCATCTATGACTAGGCTTGCAAGCTCTTCTCACATCTCATTGAGCCATTCCTTCTTACAGAGGCCTAATTCAGTGATCCTGAAATCTAAACGAGTTGTCACAACAAAAGCAGTGTCCTCGGCAAATGAAACTAGCCCCTTGCCAGGACTTCCTATCGATTTAAGAGGTCGATTTTTCTCCTTCACTTTTCGTCTTTGTTTGCTAGTTAAAGTAATAATCAGTTTGAGCAATCATTTGCATTAGAAAAGATCACTACATTTTGTCTATTTGGTTTTGAAGATTCTAAATTTATTGCAACTTTTGCGCTTTATGATCTTTATGTTGTAAGACTCGAGTAATGATGAGGGCATTATATTCACAGGGAAGAGAGCTTTCATTGCTGGTATAGCTGATGACAATGGGTATGGTTGGGCTATAGCCAAATCACTTGCAGCAGCTGGTGCTGAAATTCTTGTTGGTACATGGGTCCCGGTATGTAAACAAACTTATCCTATTTCTCTTCCAATGATATAGTTCCTCTAAATATAAGATTAGTTGCAGTTATTAAATCACGATTATTTTTCAACAGGCTTTGAATATATTCGAAAGCAGTCTACGACGCGGAAAGTTCGACGAGTCTCGTGTGTAAGAATGTTGTGTGCAAACTCCCAAATTCTGTTAAAAATATACTATTAAAGGAATCTATATCCTGGCTTATGTACTGACTCCTTTGGTGGTTGTCTCAGATTACCGGACGGTTCTCTGATGGAAATTACTAAGGTGTTTCCAATGGATGCTGTTTTTGATGGCCCTGAGGATGTTCCTGAAGATGTAAATAACGATAGCATCTCATTTGCTATGTGTCTCTACAATATGAAGTAGCTATAGTCAATGACATGTGCAATTTGTGCAGATAAAAACAAACAAGCGCTATGCAGGATCATCCAATTGGACTGTTAAGGTAATCTTTTTTCGTTCTTTCATGATAATGGCTACTGTAGTCTACCTTCTCCCTCATTTGTAATTGATGAGGTACATGGTTGAGGGATATTTTGTAGGAGCTTGTTGAATCAGTGAAGCAGGATTTTGGCTCTATCGACATCCTTGTCCACTCCCTCGCTAATGGTCCAGAGGTCGGTTACCATTGTATTATTTCTGTTCTTTTTATTTTCCCTTACTGTAATTTCTATTTCATGAAACTGATTTACTTTCTCAGGTCGCGAAGCCTCTTCTGGAGACTTCAAGGTTTGGGTACCTTGCAGCCATCTCTGCATCAAGTTACTCCTTCATTTCCCTTTTGCAGAACTTCCTTCCTATAATGAATCCAGGTGCTGTCTTCCACCATGAATATCCCTCAAAAGGGGAGGGGAAAATATTTCGGCCTTTTGCAATTATGCTGATATGAGCTTTACTTGTTGATACTTCAGGTGGTGCAACAATTTCCTTGACCTACATTGCTGCTGAAAGGACCATTCCTGGGTATGAACCAACACTTCTGGTTTACTATCAATCGCCGGATAAGTTTAATGTTATTGCATTTATAACTAAATATCCGAAGCTTCTACATTGCAGTTATGGTGGTGGGATGAGTTCAGCCAAGGCTGCATTGGAGAGTGACACACGGGTGAGTTAATATTACGTCTCGATTCCATGTAGCCTTTTCATGCAACTGACTGTGTTAGATTTAAACATAGTTGAAATTATTTGTATGCATCCTCACAGTTGTGTGTTAATTCAGGTGCTTGCCTTTGAAGCTGGAAGGAAGCACAAAATCAGAGTCAACACAATATCTGCAGGTACCAACTAAGCCATGAAGGGGAATTTGGTACATAGACTGCACTGTGATTCCATCGGAACTATCTGGATAGCAAGATCAACTGCCATAAATTCTATTGATATGAGCAAAAGCAATAGATAAGTTTATGTGAGAACATGTATACAATTTTAAGTTTTCCTAACTTCCATGCCTCTGCAGGTCCATTGAGAAGTCGGGCTGCAAAAGCTATCGGTTTTATCGACATGATGATAGAGTACTCGACTACCAATGCACCCCTTTTGAAAGAACTATCTGCAGGTTAGTAAAAACTACTCCCTTTCCCCTTCATTTTTACTTCATGTAGATTAATAAGTATACCATCACTGAAATGAGCTCTGTGTTATGTTAATTCTGCAGAGGAAGTAGGGAACGCTGCTGCTTTCCTGGCTTCACCTTTGGCCTCAGCCATCACTGGAACTGTCTTGTATGTCGACAATGGTCTAAATGGTATGGCTGTTAGCACCGACAGCCCCATACTGGAAAAGCTCCACGCTGCAAAGGAGAAATAAACACACCTACGCAGGAAATCACCCAGAGCTTATAAGTTTTGTTTTGTTCTTTTTTTGTTAATTTCAGAGTACACAATAAATGCTGTTCTTACTATCTGGGCTCCTCGTTGGACTTGTGTAACATTTTAACATATGCAGAGAGCTAGCTGATTTCAGTTGAATCGAACACAGTGGGAACTAACAACTTTGTGTAACATCTTTAGCATGAAAATTCATTTTGTAGTTAAGCTTTCTGCAGAGCCTAAACTTGGGAATATTTAACAATGATGATCCTCAAAAGCAGAGATTACTTTGGCTTTGCGCTGCTAGCCTCAGCTCCTTCAGATTCTAGTCAGATGGGCTGGATTCTTGAGTCCTATGTGGCATCAGCTCCTTTCCAACCTCGACTGAGGAGCACATCAACTGCAACGCTTCAACCACAACTAAAAAATGAGATTTCCAGAAAAACAGCTACTAAAGCCATGAACTTTACATCGTAAACAACAAGGTACTGTTTGATTTCACACCTGCCAATCACTGTAGTCAAATTTGAAGACAAAATGCCGGTAAGAAACGTCGCCGGAGGCAATCATAGTGGCTGATGGCGCATTCCTCGGAGCTGCCACGTCATACGAACATTAGAGAGAAGGGTAACAAAGCAAGCATGGGAACTGGGGAGAAAAGACAGTTCCTTCATTAACAAAACTTACAGACTAGATGGCGCCCGGATTCATCATCAACTTGAATCTCGACCCTTCCGTCTTTTACCAGGAACGACAACGCAAACAAATTCTCCACCGTCTGTGAGAATGAGCTCCTGTTCAATACCAGGTGTTCAAGCTCCACCTTCCTCTCCTTCCTCAAGATGCTGAACATGGTCAGCATCGTTCCATCAGTCGTGCCTGTCTTCTCTTCTTCCTCGACGTGAGGATCAACCTACATGAGAGACCGAAGTGAAGTTAACTAGGATGGCTCACAACGTTTCATCCGGTTCATCTTTTATAAACTAAGCAAACCTGTTTAGGCAACGCAAATTGTTTGCTCGGTCGTCGGCCTCTCCTGACTGCAGGCTTCCTCTGCTTCACTGCACTGTTTGTGCCAAGCCTGTGGATGGATAAACATTTTTACAATCAGTATAATCAAAACAAATTAGAGGGGTGTAATCTGTAATGTGTAAAAAAAAGGTAAATGCAATACATTGTAGAGCATCCCCGGAAGGGCTTGAATATATGTGAAACTGAAATTCCAATCTTTTGCCAGTTAACAGACGCCCTCGTTCTATCACTATGGCTGTATTGTTGGGCTCTGGCGAAGTCTCTGAGTATGAAATTGATGAATTTGGAAGGCGTAACCGCGTTGGAATTGAGCTTGGCGCCCTTCACAAATGAACTTGTAATCCCCAACAGAGCCTCTGCGTCAGCTAACTGCTCCCTCGGTCTGATCACTGTAGAAATGCGTAACAATAACAGAAAATGCACCGAAACGTGAGATTGCTTGCGCACCAAGTAATGAAGAAAAACCCTATCTCAGTGCAAAATTTTGATTAGATTGCCTCGCTCGTGCAAGCTCTGGAGCTCGTTGAGGATGGTGTTGAACTTGTTGGATTCCGCGCTTCCAATATCGTCTGCTTCATCTGCGATCACGAAGGCGGTGAAAGAGAAGGTTAGGGAATTCAAATCGATACTCGCGAATACGTTTCGAACAAGGAAATTTCGAGGGAAGAACTCGGAGAAGTAGTCTGTTTTACCTTGGATGAGATTCTGGACGGCATGGTACCGAGAACGGAGAATTCTGCAGTCGCTCAAATCGGCGGCGGCGGCTACATTGTCGGTTCCGGTGGCGGGCTCGCGTTTCACGGGTGCCGTGGCGGCCTCGCGTTTCACGAGTCGGGTCATCAGTTGGTGTTGTTGTTTTCTTGTCGGAGGGAAGGTTAGGGTTTTTTTTTGTTGTTGTTGTTGATGGGAGTGGTGGTGGAAGCAAAAAGCTAAGGCAATTAAAGGACGAGGGGGAAAATGGAGAGTCGGTCATTCCCTTACTGCTTCGGCGGTATGGATGGCAATGGGGCGGGTTTGCCTAAACTATCCCCGTCACCATCTTCAAATACTCAAATCCATACCCGCCCCATACCCATGCGGGGGAATGTTTTGCAAACCCATCCCCATACCCGTGGGTTTCGGGTACCCATGGGTAATACCCATCCCCGTACATCCAACATTATTATACCTAAAACTTACAAGAAAAGTTTTAATTATAACCATAAACAAACGTATTATATAATGAAGTCAACAAAACAAGGTCATTTTCTAAATACGATTCAAAGAATATGATCCTAAAACATCCATTAATACATAATATAGACTACAATCTTTTTTAAATTATTATGCTCTAACTCTTGATACATTTACTAAATAATAATTAACTAACATAATCTTGTTGACAAGGGGGAAAGTGAAAGAGTGGAAGGAGATTTGAGGGAAATGAATTAGGTTTTGATTAAGGTGGTTACTCAATTGCATTTCTATTATTTATTTTCTCGAGTTATCATCATCATCATTGATAGATTACAATTTAATCCACATACTTTTTGATATGTGAAGAAATTCTGTTGGTGGGGCGGGTATGGGTATGGGTATGGATATGGGGCGGGGGAGGCTAAAATCATACCCGCCCCATACCCATCAAACTTTTTGCGGGTTTTACCCATACCCGCCCCATACCCGGTCAAAGCGGGGATTCCCCGCGTTGACTGGGTCGGGGGCGGTCGGGTACCCGCGGCCATGGGTTTGATTGCCATCCCTATTCGGCGGTTTAAATTCCTCCGACAAAAGCTCCTTCTCAGCTTATTTCCCTCTTCTTACCGAGGAATTATTGGCTACACCGGGAGCACCACCTAAGCATGCTGATTTGGTGCTCCCGGCCCATTAAAATTTGCCACGTGTCGATATGAGGAATTCATTAATTCATTGTTCAATTCTTTCCTTGGTTATCTATTCTCACAAACTAAATTGTGAGCCGGTCCGTTGGCCGGAGGAATAAGCACAAAGCTAGTAATTGGGTTGTGATGTACTTGTTTTCCTTTAGAGCCAACCCCATACCATGTTTAGCTTGGCGGTTTGTGGTAGGGCTGGGAAAATAGACCAGACCGTTAGAAAAATCGTGGTCCAAACCGTACCGCACAGTTTGGTCTGGACCGTAGACCGTTTTAGTATGGTTTGGTCTGGTTCATGGTCTGTATTATTTTATTTTTGATCTCTTGGTCTGGTCTGGTCTAGACCGCGGTTTACCAGACCAAACCGCGGACCAACCGACTTGTCAATACGTGTTAATAGCCCACTCGATCACTCTCCCAGCTCCCACAACGACACCCAAGTCTCAACCTTAATTTTGAGAATTTCGTCCATCCTTCATTCACAACCACATTTAACCAGAGAGTAGAGATAATCGTGTCTCCATATGACATTATGTTAATGTTCATAACGTTATGGTGCAAGTTGGGATGTTTTTACTTTGTATCTTTGTTATGTACTAAGATTAGGGTATCAAAATTATTCGTGCATGTTAGGATTAATGTTTTAAGGCAAATAACAATTATTTTTCTTGGTTATTGGTTCAATTTTTTGCGTGGTTGACTAAACAAATTATTCATTTTTCTTTGAGTGTGGTCTATCTGGACCAGACCAGACCGAACCAGACCGCATAGGCGTGGTCTGGACCAGACCGTATAGTCTGTGGTCTGGTCTGTGGTCTATACTTCAGCCTCTCGGTCTGGACCATAGACCTTATATATGGTCTAGTCTGGACCAGACCGCACCGTTTCCCAGCCCTAGTTTGTCGAATTGGGTCCGAAGCGTGTAAATTGAACCAAGTTGTTAATATTGTCGATATGTCCGAGTGGTTAAGGAGACAGACTTGAAATCTGTCATTATAAAAAAAAATTGAACCAAGTTGTCGTTCGTCCACCATGGGAACCCAACACCTCCCTTCATTTTGACGTTTGAGATCTCAACTACCTGCAAGTTGGTTTGATAGTAGAGAAACTTCGGGAATGAACAAACGTAGTAGCCACCATGATAATCATAGCTCCCCGAAGACAAAATCAGGTAGTTCAAAAGGAAGAGCGGAGGAGTATCCCGTTGGCTCGTCTCATAATGGCAGGGGCGGACCCACCTTGTAGCAAGGTGTGTCACTCGACACACCTTACTCCGAAAATTTTGTGAGGAACTCACATTTTTTCGGTGTAAAAAATTCGTACAAAGGACCTCCGACACACCTCCAATAATTATAATCGACACACCTTAACCTTATTACATTACAAAAAAAAAATATTGTAATAATAGTATTAAAATATGTAAATATAGGAGTTATCGGATTTCATATTAGGTAATTAATTAGTTGGTTGTACAAGAGTAAACAATTAATTGACTACTTACTACTTAGTGAGTATTCAGAAAGATAGCTATCACCTTACAGATAACCTCAATAAATTGAATGAGAATTAAATTGATTAATAATCTGGTTGAGTCACGTAATTATATAGTGAATTCCATATAGTTTTCCCCCATAACTTCTTCCATTGATTCTTCTTAAGTTAACATTCTACTTGCTTTCCAGTTTAGCTATTTCTTTCTAAGTTGACGTCTGTCACCACCGTCTGGTTGTCGGCATCGAGCCGACGACATCCTCATTCTCATTCAAACTTACACATTGACGTCTGTGGCCACCCTTCCAGCTTCTCATACCAGCTTTCTCATATTAAATTAGTGTTGACTTTACATATTGCAACTGTAAGCTACAAAATTACATTTTTAATATATGAGTTTAATCGAGAAAAATCTTTGGTATAAGTTGAGTGATCAATTTATGAATAATTTTTTAGTTGTGTACATAAAAAATATATTTGATTTGTAGCCTAATGAGCAAATGTAGTTAAGAAATTTTTCAGAATATTAAAAATCGTCGTGGTTCACTGGCAAAAATAATGAAATTGATGAACTTTATGAAAAAAGTTTTTATATTTATTTTAAATTAATTAATTAAATATTTTTTTATTGGCCGACACACCTATACCAAAATTCTGGGTCCGCCAGTGCATAATGGTCATTCTTGTCTCTATAGAGCTCCTTTTTTTCCCATCAGTGTCGTGTCTTTGCTCCCTGGAGCTTCTCCAAAGCTGCCCAAGTAGTGGCTTTTCAGGCTCTTTCATCGGTAGTCTGGTTGCATACAGACTGTCGCATCGAATTGGGGTCGGTCCTGTAATTGTGTCGAGTCTTTGACCCATGCCCTTTGGGATTGCCTTGAAAAAAAAAACGATTACGTCTGTTGCTTTGCGTTTGAGGACAACTTTTATCATTCCGTCCCCTATTAGACTACAATTGGGTTTTCCGGAGACAAGTGTAAATAGTTGTCCTTTATGTTTGTCCCTAAATATCCTCAATTTTGTAGTGGGAAAAAATGGGGACGACATCCCTGATGATGATGTGGAACTGCTGCTGGACGTGGCATGAGATGGTGAAGAGGTGGCTTGGCTGGAAGACTCCCCTGGGGACGAGGAGCTGCTGGCAGAGGTCGAGGAAGGTTGAGGACTAGGGGCGTCGAGAGGCAGATCATGAGGAGTCGGTGGAGTGTCCAGATCATCACCTTCATCATCGAAAAACATTGGCAAGGAGGAGGCCGAGCCAGGAAAGGTAAATAAGGACTCGGAAGACATGGGAAAGTACTGTAAATTTTCAAAAAAGACCACCGAACAAGCTATACGAATACGTTGAGCAACAGAGTCATAACACAAGTATCCCTTATGCACATCACTATATCCCAGGAAAGCACAGCAGACAGTTTTAGAAGTCAATTTTGTACGTTCACGTTTGGGGAGAAGGACAAAACAGAGACAACCAAAAACACGAAGCCGGGAATAATCAGGATGACAGTGATAGAGAGAAATACACAGAATGTTAGTCTTGAGCACCGGAGTGACCTGATAATTGATCAATCGGACTGAAGTTGCCACTGCCTTTGGCCAGAATCGGCCAGGAACATGAGATGCAAGTAACAGAGCTCGAGTTAATTCAACGACGTGCCGATTTTTTCTCTCTACCAAACCATTTTGCTGGGATACTCCAGGACAAGATTTTTGACTCAAAATACCACGAGAACGATAGACTTCACGAAGAGGAAATGAATTGAATTCCCCACCAGGATCGTATCGAATAATTTTGACAGTCTAATTGAACTGGGTCTGAATCATGTTTAATAACTCAACTGCCACTGCACGAAGTTCAAATTTTAAATGGAGAAAATAAACTGATAGACCAACAATTACACATGTTTCTACCCCTATCCTTGAGCCGTTTGAGATGTCGATTCCCGCGTTTTAGGCCGATTTCACGCCAGGTTGTTCGTGTTTGTGATATTTCAGGTCCTATCACATGAATGAAGGCCTGGAAACGAGTTCAGGGTCGATTGGACGAAGATTAGACGTTTGGCGAGAAGCTGGGAAGCCACACGGGCACCATTGCACATCACACGGCCGTGTAGGGGCCCCTTGTGGCCGTGTGAAGGCTCAGTAAAAGCCACACGGGCAGCCTGGGGAGCCACACGGCCATGTGGCCTCTGCCCGTGTAGCTTGCCTGCTTGCCCACTAATCGAAACGCCGCGTTTGGACACTCACACTGGCAGCTGGGTAAGCCACACGGCCGTTTGGCCTGCCCGTGTGAATCAGGAATTCTGGTTTTTACCCAAATTCGAGCCACAAGTGAGAGAATAGACTTTTCAGAGCAAAAACAGAGCCCTAAAGAGAGAAAGTGCTAAGAACTCATCCTAGAAGCGATCTTGGAGCTGGGTTTCATCAAATCGAGCTTGAAGATCATCATAGGAGTGGAAATCATCATCCCAAAGTTGATTCTTCCCATTGTTATGAGTATGACTGCTTTGTATTCTGTTTTCTTCTCTCTCTCTATGGAGTAGAACCCTT